GAGAGGAATTACTGAAACCCAAATGAAGGCTGAGCATGATTGTGGGACAAGAGGAAAGTAAAAGGAAATAGAGGAAAGAACTGGGAGGCAAAGGGCATTTATAGAGGCCTAAATACAGGCATGTACATATGTAAATATATTTATATACGAGGATGAGGAAATAGATATATGTGCATATATTAATAGGTTTAGTATTAGGGGAGCAGATGGACATTGGACCTCTACCCAAGTACTCCCTCAATGAAAGAAAACTTTGTTCTATTAAACTGACATTCCATGATGCTCACCTTCCCAACACAATCGCTGAAGACAAAGTGGGTGCATAAGTAAATGTGGTGAAGAAAGCTGATGGTGCCTGGCTATCAAAAGATATAGTGCCTGGAGAGGAAATGTTTTGAGAATGATGAGGCCAATGAATGTACAAATGTGCTTTACATACAATTGATATATGTATGGATTGTGATAAGAGTTGTATAAGCCCCTAATAAAACGATTTAAAAAAAAAAAAGAAAAGAATCTCACCATGATCTAATAAGACTTCCTACTTCAGCATTTTAAAAGTACCATCTAAGTAGACAGATTTCAAGTGAAAATGTATTCTTAGTGGTTTGGGAACTGTTCTGTACTGTATTAAAAAATGTTTTTTTTAATTCTCATGACAACATGGCATCTGTTATTATAAAAAAATAAAATAAAGAACTAGGGAAAAAAAAGATATAGTGTCCGGGGTCTTAAAGGCTTAAAGGTAAACAAGCGGCCATCTAGCTCAGAAGAAACAAAGCCCACATGGAAGAAGCACATCAGCCTGTGCGATCATGAGGTGTCAAAGGGATCAGGTCTCAGGAATCATCAGAACAAAAAATCATATCATTGTGAGTGAGGGGGAGTGCAGAGTGGGAACCCAAAGCCCATCTGTGGGCAATTGGACATCCCCTTAAAGAAGGGTCTCAGGGAGGAGAGGAGCCAATCAGGGTGCAGTGTAGCAACAATGAAATACACAACTTTCTGGGGGAGGGGGGCAGAGGAAAGGAGGGGGAGAGGGAAAAAAGGAAAATGAGCTGATTCCGGGAACCCAAGAGGCAAGTGAATGTTGGGAATGATGAGGGCAACAAATGTATAGATGTGCTCTACACAATTGATCTATGTATTGTGTTGAATTTTATGAGCCCCAATAAATTGATT